GAATCTGGACTTCTTGGATACCAGGTTAAATAAAATACCCTGTCTTACTTTCCTCATCTTATCCTACTATATTCTCCCTTTAAAGAAAGATAAATTCACATCTATATCAACTGTCCTCCCAGTGCTAGGATTTCTGCCTTCTGGAATCCATTTAGATTAGGTTTTTATCCTTGGGGGATTAATTGGAAACGAGAGTGATTCCCTTTGGGTGGGTTTTGTCTTTGGGGTCAGAGTGATAAGAAAATACAAAGCTTTCACCTAGAGAGAATCTCCTATGACCAGCATCTGGAAGGAGTTCTGTAGAGTTCTGCACTTCCTCTTATTCATACAACAGACTCTTGAAAGCCTCTGATAGTTCTTACTTCCCTACACATCTCACCAAAAGCTAATATTCTACCAATATATGGTTTGTATTGAAAACCTTGGCTTTCAATTTACTGTTCTCTTTTCCCCTCCAAAAAAAGGCGGCCAGAAATGGAGTGATTCTGTGCTTAGACATAGTAATAAACACAGTCATTCACTAGAGTTTTTTAAAGATTATTAAAGCGTGTAGTTTTGATGCAGTTTTATTTCACTGGGAAAGCATCTTTACTTTTTGCTAGAATCCTTGAAGCATTCTTTGAAATAAACTTTGAAACATTTTTGTAGTTTATAGTAGGTTTATTCCAACCGATTATGGATAGTTGAAAATAGACATAGCATAATGAATCATAACATCCCTGACCAAGTCCTCCAGAGAAAAATCATCTCTACTTCAGCTATAGTTATACTCCAGATCCCAAAGAGCTATGTAGTGCAGCTTACTGCAGTGTATCAGAAAGATGAGGCACTTGTCAGTTACATTAAGGAGCTAAAGTCAATACAGCAGTTGTAGATTTGCTAATGCCACTGTATTTTTCTGCTCATAGCATGGACCCATTCATATGACTAATTTAGGTACAGGCTTCTCCAGTCAGAATGAGATTGAAGGTGCAGGATCGAAGCCGGCAAGTTCCTCAGGCAAAGAGCGAGAGAGGGACAGGTGAGTTGATTGAAACATAATTATATGAGTATATTCAAATATTTGCACCATTAGTGGGAATAATGATCATTGATATGAGCTTCCATGTTCTAAAACTAAAGTGAAATCATTTGGATCAAACAAGCCCCTGTTTGTTATAATTGATGCAGTAATGGAAAATGTAACGATCTGCCTTTCACAGTCTTAGGAGGAGTTACATTCAGCTTTGGATAATTCACAACATGCTTAGTCAGGCATCTTCCTTTACTCTCATTGTTTGCCTCTTGGCCATTTTCCTAAGGGTAGGCAGTAACAGAAGTGTTACACAATCAAGCCATTTTTGCTACTTAGAATCATAGAATATCATGGATGGGGGTACTTGAATGGGAGTTCAGCCTGCCATCCAATGAATTCTCCTTTCCTATATTATAATATTAGACTTCATAAGAGGGAGCTGACTTCCCACTACGGTTCATTCTATTTTTGGCATGGCCTGGCTCTGTGGACAGGACTTGTGATCTTATAACTTGATAATAGCTTGAAGGGTAGGGGGTCTGGTGCAAAGAGTTGAAATTAATGGTTAAAAAACTCGAAAGATTATCTGTAGACTGTATTGTTTATCCTACTTCTTATCTACTGGAGAAATTAAAGATTGATTGAATTTGTCTGAAAGACTACTTCATTTTTTTTATTCTAACAGGCAGTTGATGCCTCCACCAGCCTTTCCAGTGACTGGAATAAAAACAGAGTCTGATGAAAGGAATGGATCTGGGACCTTAACGGGGAGCCATGGTGAGTAAGGTGTAGCTGGGGGAACAAGGGAGTGGCTAAGACTGGTCTTAAGCTATTAGTTTTCTAATCTGATGTTCATTCAGGTCTGACTCATTCACGTGTTTAATCCAACCTCTATAACGTACTGGCTAATGAGAATACCTTTTTTTTATTTATATGGACAGCATATAGTTACACAGCCTTATATTTTCAACCGACGTGTGTCTAGAAAAGAGTCAGTCGACTTATATTTTATACGTAGCATCAGTGACATTAAAAACCTAGGAAATACTAATGATTGGTAGGTCATTTCAAAATTTTGTTGTCTTTGTTGTCTGAATACCTGGAGGTAATCTGATACAGACTTAATAAATACGGATTTTTCTTTGTGTTGGGAGCTGAGCCCTGTCTCCCTTCATAGCTCTATTCGTCGGGAATGGTCAGCCTGTGGCTGTTATAAAAAATGTTGCTTACTCGTATCCCAGAACTCTAATTCCTGTAGAGGTACATGGGATTGTTTTTGTTCTTTGCCCGTAGTCGTCATAAAAACGAACAGAAGAAAATAAGTTTTTTTCTTTTCTTAACTTCTTTTCTTTTAACTCTTTAAAAGGTGAAATAGCCTCCAGAGACTCACTTGCTAACTTTCCTTTTTTTTCTTTTTTCTTTTTTTTTTTGTGTTTCTTTTTTCTTTCTCTGTTTTCTTACATGGTTCTGGTGGATTCACATTTGCTGATGCTGGTGCTGTTTTTCCTGTGATCTTCAACGTTTTTGGGTGACCATGACCCTGTGACCTCAAAATGGTGTCCAACTAACCACTTACAATTAACATCTTTTTTTTATTAACGAATTTATGGTATTATCTTTTTTTTTTTCCTTGGTGGGGAATGGGGTTGGGGTTGTTTTTCTCTATTCTAGATTATCCGGTCAAGAAGATGAAAACTACAGAAAAGGGATTTGGCTTGGTGGCTTATGCTGCAGATTCATCTGATGAAGAGGAGGAACACGGAGGTCATAAAAATGCAAGTAGTTTTCCACAGGGCTGGAGTTTGGGATATCAATACCCTTCATCACAACCACGAGCTAAACAACAGATGCCATTCTGGATGGCCCCGTAGGAAGGAGTGGAACAGAGTTTTGACCCTCGGTGACTCTTCTTTAGCAATAATGCATGCATTTGATTTAAGAAGACTCTGGGGCCAGTACTGGGAACATCTTGGACCTTTGCAGAAGTTAGGGATGCCGTGTCCTCTTTCTTAAAGGAGTTCCATTCTTTTTAAAACATCCTTATTTCTGCAGTGGCATAGCATCTGTTAAAATTTACTTAGAATCACAAATTTGTCTCAGAAGCTTTTTAACAGTTGGTGAAATGTGCTTGTTCAACAAAGCATCCCAACAGGGTCATTCCAATATACATTTGACCTGGTCCAGCCTTTTCCAAATGAATAGCCCCTATTCTGACATAAAGTTTTATTTGTATTTTATTACTGTTTGGTGAATTTTGATAATAACTGGTTATAAACAAAGCCTTACTATTTATTAGTGGGGAAAAGATTTTAAGACCCTTTTCCTTTCAGTGCTAAGTATAAGAACTCATCCCTATTTCATTTTTGGATTCTTTCTGTTTTGGAAAATGCAGTTTTACTAATTTAAAACTATCGGATATAGCTGGATCCTGGGTAGGAAAATGAAGTTATTTTTTTTATTGTGTCTTTTTATTGGGATGATCCAAAGCTGGCACTTCCAGGCACACTTGTCTCAGATAGCCATTGCTGTTTTTATTGCTCTTCTAAGCTCCTTGTCTTCAACTGGGTCAGAGAAAACTACCTGCTCAAAGGCTGGTCAGAACTCATCACAGAAACGAAACACAGTGGTCTGTCTCTCTCAGAACTGGTTGCAGCTAAAATAGAGAGATTTGACTGCTCGCAATAGGATGGTGGACTTAGTGACTGAAATTGCAACTTGTCCTTTTTCTTGGCATTACAGGTTTTGCCAAAAGAACTTTTTTGTATCAAATATTGATGTGTGAAAGTGAAGGAGCTAGTCTGCTGAACCAGGAGTAGTTTGAGATACTGAACTGTCATTTTTGCACATTTGAATACTTTGCAGGCTGGCTTTGTACAAACTTATCCTCTGGTTTCCTATATGTTGTAAATATTTAGACCATAATTTCATTATAAATAAATGTATAAATATTCTGCCTGTGGTTTCTGTTTTTCCTTCCACAACCCACCCTACACTAAAATTCATAAACTTTTTTACTCATAGTATAATGAAATTATAACCCCATCAGAAAAATGCACATGTGGACCTAAAAGTTTTCAGGCAGTTCCGAGAGATTTATGACTTTCCAAAGTCAACCCTTAAAAGTCCAGATGAAAACAAAGGATTATTATGCTGGATGTTTTCCAATTTCGTATTCTAGCTCTCCTTTATTGAACATGGTTAAAAGGAATGTGTGAATGAAACGTATTTTTAAAAGAAATACAAATTATATTTGGAAAAACATTCTTCAAAAAGAACAGTGGACAGAAGTTTCAACAGAAAAATTTCCCAGTGTAAAGTTTCTTCTAGTGCCTGTGTCTACTGCCTAAATAGAGGAGTATAGTGATAGTACCTTCATTTATTTCTGTATTTAATTCAAGGCCACCTGAAAACTTTTGAATTTTAGCATTTTCTGTCCAGAGAGTAGTACATTTGTTTAAAACAAAACAACCTAGTTTTTAAATATCTTTTATTCACTTATGTTTAAAATACATACAGAACTCTAATTAATTAACTCGAATGTTGGTAACATCTAGTCTTTGAGAACGGATCCTGTTTTCAAGAGCCCAAGTCATTGTAGCTATTCGTTTAAGAAAATTTGCTCTTTCTGCTATTAAGTGGTGAACATCATTAATAGTCCTGTTTTGGGGGAGGATTTGGTAGGTGCCCGTTTCCTGGTTTCCTCATTAGATTTGGCCAAATTAGTTTATCACAAACAGTAAACAACCTTGAGTAAATTGTTACTCACTTTAGAGGTCCTCCATGTGTCCCTTATCACTTCCTCCTTTCTTGTGTGTAAATAGTTGTTTCATAATGTAAGTTTTAACTTCTTTGTGTGTGTGTGCATCCCCCGAGTATGGGCCTCTACCAAAGGGCCTTTTGTAAGAGTCGCCTGGCTGGGTCTGGAGACCTGGAGGGAGCCGGCCGTCCCCGGAGGGGCGGGGCCGGTGGCGGGCGTCACGGGGCGGCCCCGCCCCTCCGGCCGGTGGCGCCATCTTCCCGGCTGCGGGAGGGGTCACAGGTCAGTGCCGGAGCCTCGCGGCGAGGGAAGGAGGACGGAGTGGGAGCTCTGACCGGCCGTGGCGGTCACGTCCCGCCGGGTAGGAGGAGCGGGGTCTCGGCCGGTGAAGCGGAGGGTGGGGGCTCGGTGGCGGGCTGAGGTGCGCTGGGGGAGGGGAGCTGTCGCGGAGGAGAAGGGGGAGGGGGCGGAACCTCCGGGTGCCGCGGGCGTGAGAGGACCCCTGCGGCCTCAGGGCAGTTCCTTTGGTCCCCAAACCTCAGCTTTCTCCCTGCTGTGCCGGTGCCCCAGTCTGAAAAGAAATTCTGAATTTCTTTGTCTCTTCTTTCTTCTTCTCTCGGGAAAAAGTAGTAATTCGGGAAACCTGTGATGTGTTACAGGACTGAAGTGTCCTGCAGGGAAGGGGAGCATGTGGGGTTTGTTAGGGCCGCCAGAAAGGCGGCAGTAGGGAGCAGGCGTCACGGACCCGAGTCTGAGAAGGTGGGGCACTGGCTCCAGACTGTCGTCACGGTGTCTCCAACCTGGATTAAATATTTTCTTCTTTCTCAAGGTGCCTTTTCCTCGGGGCAGCCCAAGCTTCTCCAAGAGGACAATGGATTCTGGAAGTCGCCCAGGTGGGAGCTGCTGTAGCAGCCCTGCAGGACTCTCACGCGAATACAAGCTAGTGATGCTGGGCGCCGGTGGTGTGGGGAAAAGTGGTAGGTGACATTTTTCTTCCATTTTACAAGAAGGACTAAAAGTACTCAAAACAAATGACCTCCACCCAAACCACTTGGGAGACTGGTTATCATGCAATGTTGATACTGAAAATTCTTTCTGTGGGTCACTTTTGTGTAGACTCTAACTTTCATTTCTTGTTTCGAAGCCATGACCATGCAGTTCATCAGCCACCGATTCCCAGAAGATCATGACCCCACCATCGGTAAGTCAGATGATCACTTAGGTTTCCAAAGAAACCCCATAAAAGTCTTCTAGTGTCAATTTTTGAAACAGTTTTAAACTATTTATATTTAAACTATTTATATTTTGAGCCTCTTTTGCTGTCTGATTCAGGATTTATTTAACAACAAGAGTATCATAGCAGTTGGTAAACAAATGACTATTTCTTTTTCCTATATGTCTCCTTAACTTTATATGTACATAAGCCATCTTTAGTGTCTGTCTTTTATTGAACATTAATGGGACACTTTCTTTGTCATATTCTTATGGTTGGTGTACTGTATTGCCAGATTAAAGGAAAAGTTTAAAGACAACTTAACAGAAGCCTTTTGCTGTCACCTCTCTAAGGGTCTGACTTGAGACTGACTATGTAACTATGAGTCAGCTGGTTTGAACTTCCACAAAAGGAAGCAGAAAAACAAGTAGAGCCAGCCTGCTGAACTCTTACAACCCAGACTTGCAGAGCCCGGACTTTTTCTACTCAGAGCCCTTCATTACTTCCTTATACCTTGGGTTCATTACATGGCAAAGTCTTCCCTCGTGTCTTTTATAATCCTTAACGCTTTATTGTTGGCAAAACACTATTAAAGTAAAAAGTAGTTTTGTTTTGCCTTTTAAAAGATTTTTAATTGCTGTTCGCTACAAAGACTAAGAAGGTTACCATCCTTCCTGAACCATAAGGAAGCAGGTTTGATTCTAAGGGGTCGTATCCCAGGATAAAAGAAAAATGGGTGTGGGGAAAGGGGAGGACACAGAAGTCTGCCATACTGCTGGTGTTTTCAGGATGTGACACTTTCTCTCAACAAATCTCCAAAAAGGATTTCCATTGGGTCAGGCCTCTGCTGCTCTGTTTTCCACAAAGCCAGTGAGCGTTCTGTGCTAACCCAGCTTTGGGTGTGGTTATTTTATATAGTAGATGCTTCTGTGGATTAGGGGAAATAGAAACAGGTCTTGTTTTTCATTTACTGTATTAAATTTAGAACATTGTTCAGAGATTCAAACTATGGTGGGAATTCTAGGAATAAAATCAATTTAGGGCTTAGGATAATTTACTTAGAGCTCCAGAAATACCTCTTCTTTAAAGTAAGACTCATATACTGTGTCTCCTGAGTTACTTTTTTGAATCTATTGATTTTTTTTTTTCCAAATCAGCTACTCTCCTGACAATATTATCTGATTCAACAGCAAATACTTTGTCTCTTGAGTTTCTATTATGTGCCAAGCACTGTGGTAGGCCCTGGGGGGTACAGTGGTGAGGAAAAAGATGGTGTCTGCTCTCATTGGGTTTATAACTTAGTGCTTTTTGTTTCAAACTTTGGCTACTAACTCCAAGAAGAGAAACTTTACATTGTAACCAGTACACATTTAAGCATGTGTGTGTACATGTATGTATACAGGTGCACATATGTGTAGGTAATTAACATATCGTCAAACTATAGTTACCTCACTGCTTATGGTTTGTGGTGCACTCTGGTTTCTTCTCTTTTGGTTTAGGTTTCTGCTTGTTTGTTTTAATGCTGGTCCAAACCCAATAAAATCATTCACAACTCACTAATCCTAATGGATCATGACCTGTAGTTTGGGAAACATTGATATAGTGGGCCCTTCATCTTTGAGGAAGAGTCAGAAGCAAGGGTTCAAGAAAAAATGTTAAGAGGAAATACATCAGGATGTAAGCAGCAGTTGTTCTAATGATGAAAATATTGAGTGGGCTTTTTCTCTTTTTTTTTTTTACTTTCCTGTATTTTCCAAGGTTACTATAATAATATGCATAAAGAAATTTGCTTTCATAGAGGAGAAATTATGACAATATGGATTATTTAGAAAATAGTAAAGTAAGTTATGATTTTTCTCTTTTCTATAGTATTAAAATTAGGAGGAATTATAGCATATGGTTAAGTACGTAAGGCTTTGAGTCAAGCAGCCCTTGGTTTTAATTCTGGTTATATCATTAATTAACTGTGTAATATGGGGAACACATTTAGTGTTTTAGAGTTTCATTTTCTTCATGTTTAAAATGAAGATAATAATGCCTACTTCATTGGATTATTATGACTATTGAATGAGTTAATGTATATAAATTACTTAGTATAATGCCTGGCATCTAATAACTGTTTAATAAATGGTAAAGTTACTTTTCTGGCCTAATATTTTAAAAAAGATCTCTCAGAATCCTTTTTTCAGCTTAGAATTGTAGGTGAAGTCTTATTAAGCTGTGGATAAACTTACATACATCATCGCTTATGTGAAAAAAATAATAAAAACCTTAGTTGAAGACCTAATTTATTTATCTCAATGGATTTAGCATGTTTCCTGAGAAAATTTGGGCACTTAAAGAACTGCTTTTCCATGAGACAGATTTTAAAATAAGGTTGCATATTCCTGCGTTTATGAGTTTATAGACACCTTTCTTCCCTCCTGTAGAAGATGCTTATAAAATCCGGATCCGTATTGATGATGAGCCTGCCAATCTGGACATTTTGGATACGGCTGGACAGGTATTAAATCTTAGAATGCTCTGAGTAAGAGTCTTTTCCCTCTAGTGAAGGGGCAGGAAGGCTTATGCAGAGAAGATCACTAGTTCATCTCTTTTAATTTTTCATGCACTCTGACTCAGGATAGCAGGTAATCAGCATCTCTCTTCTTTAATCTGAAATGAATGCTCATCTGTGTGTAGTTCTAGGTTGCACCAATACATTGATGACCTTGTTTCCCTCCAGGCAGAGTTTACAGCTATGCGAGATCAGTATATGAGGGCAGGAGAAGGGTTTATCATCTGTTATTCTATCACTGATCGTCGAAGTTTCCATGAAGTTCGGGAGTTTAAACAGCTTATTTATCGAGTTCGTCGGACTGATGATACACCTGTGGTTCTTGTGGGAAACAAGTCTGACCTAAAGCAGCTAAGACAGGTAAGGATAGAGTTGAAAATGCTGTCTGTCATCTTGTGGGATTAGTCATTTTTGTTTCTCTGTTTATAGAGTCCTTTGCCTTAAAATAAAAATTCAAAATTAGCTTCTCCCTAACCTTGAAAATTTCCCTATATCTACTAATTTTTTTGTTATTTTGGATAAAATTTAGATTTTAGCAATCACTTTTCAGGACAAAATCCACAGGATAGTAATCACATGACAAATAGAATACCCATTAAGTGACAGATGATAGAATATTCAATTCCAAAAACCTCAGAAATAAATCTGTTTATGTCAGGAGAAACTTTGGTTAAACTTCAAGATGTACTTCCTGTTGGTGAGGATTATGAGCCCTGGAAGGGGAGAATAAGAGAAATTGCAGAGGATTTTGGAATAACTGATACCTTTCAAGTTAGTGACATTGTTTAAAATTTTGCTGTTTGGTGTAAACTTAAAGGTGGAGTGAAATGGGCACATTTCATAACTACTCCTGAAAGCAATGAATGGTGCAAACCTTTTTGGAAGTAGTTGGACAGTAGTTAAATTCATAATGCTTCTCAGTTAATCCCCATTTGAAAAATCTATTCAGGGATTTACGTATAAAATATTTGTTGCCAGGTTATTTATGGTAGCAGAAGATTGGAAAAGAATCTAAATGTACAAATTAAGAGAAATTATGGTATTTCCATAATTGGTTATATCAGTTTTAGGTTCCTTATAGTTTTTAGCATTATAGTTTAAGTATGTATTTCTTTGCCTGTGTTTTCCTTTCTTAAAAGGAAAAGTATGAGGGGGCTGGCCCAGTGGTGCAGCAGTTAAGTTTGCATGCTCCACTTTGGCGGTCCAGGGTTCGCCAGTTCAGATCCCGGAGGCAGATCTGTGCACCTCTTAGCAAGCCATGCTGTGGCAGGCGTCCCACACATAAAGTAGAGGAAGATGGGCACAGATGTTAGCTCAAGGTCTATCTTCCTCAGCAAAAAAAAAAAGAGGATTGCTGGCAGATGTTAGCTCAGGGCTAATCTTCCTCAAAAGCAAGTAAATAAGTAAAATGAAAAGTATGAAGAAAATGAAAATGGCATATTTGGCGTTTTTTTCAGTAACATTGGATTATAACATTGTCTGACTTTCAAGTGTACATCATAATATATTTCAAATTCTGTGTAGATTACATCATGTTCACCACCCAAAGACTAATTACAATCCATCACCATACACATGTGCCTAGTTACCCCTTTCTCCCTCCTCCCTCCCCCTTCCCCTCTGGTTACCACCCATCCAATCTCTGTTGCTATGTGTTTGTTCGTCATCATTTTTATCTTCTACTTATGAGTGAGATCATATGGTATTTGACTTTCTTCCTCTGACTTGACTTATTTCACTTAGCATGATACCCTCAGGGTCCATCCATGTTATCACAAATGGCCGGATTTCATCACTTCTTATGGCTGAGTAGTATTCCATTGTGTATATACACACCGCATCTTCTTTATCCATTTGTCCCTTGATGGGCACCTAGGTTGCTTCCAAGTCTTGGCTATTGTGAATAATGCTGCAAGGAACATAGGGGTGCATGTATCTTTAAAAATGGCGTATTTGATATCTGTAACTATTCCCTGTCCCAAAAAGTTATCTTTAAAATAGACAAGAAATAGAATCACATAATTTGAAGGCAGAAGAAATCTTAGAAGTTATGTAATCCAGCCTCTCCCCCCGACCCAGCATTACAAAAATCACTACACTCTACTTGAACACCTCCAGAGTTGAGGAGCTGTCTTCCTTTTAAGGTAGCCCTTTCATTTTTTGGGACAATTGTAATTGTTTTCCACTGTTACCACTATAAATTTTCTCATGTGTACATTTTTAAAGGTCACCAAGGAAGAAGGATTGGCTTTGGCCCGGGAATTCAGCTGTCCCTTTTTTGAGACCTCTGCTGCCTACCGCTACTACATTGATGATGTATTCCATGCCCTTGTGCGGGAGATACGTAGGAAAGAAAAGGAGGCAGTACTGGCCATGGAGAAAAAATCGAAACCCAAAAACAGCGTATGGAGGAGACTGAAATCACCCTTCCGGAAGAAGAAAGATTCTGTAACTTGAAGGGAAGCTGTGGAGTGTTTATCTGTGACCTGCACTGCCTGATCAGAGCAGTCCAGTAACCTGCGTTAGTGAGCGTGGTGCTTGCTCTTTCTCCTGTTAGGACCGTTATTTTAAAAGTAACTGATGAAGGGGACATGCCTACTAGAGGTTTTCAATGATGTGGTATTTAAAATATTGTCTCTTAGCTAATTCTGATTTATTAACCCGGTGGAGCACTGTCTACTTTTAAATTGTCTCATTAGAATTTGATCACCCATGTTTTGGGTTCTGTTGCTGATATTAATTAGTTAATGTAAATTGTTTATACCCAGGGGAATATGTATGCCATATGTGTTTGACTAAGCTCACAAGAGGAATTTTTTGCCGTGCACTACTCCATGTTATCTTTCAACTCCAGTTTCCTGGGACTATCCCAGAGAAGGACCTCAGTCTTTTCTATTCACACTGTGCTTCCTAGAGACAGAACAAAAACCCTGTAGGGAAATCCATGCTAAAGAGATTGGTGTTAACGTTCAGCAAATAGCGGTGGAACTGACTCCTGTTGCAGATTGTAGAGTGATGAGATCTGGGGAGATCAGGCTGTATGTTTGCAGGAACTTGGCTAGAAAAAGGTAGGATCAGAACAGTGTTCCCAGTACGAACCTGGCTTTTCTAAGAAGTGCACATTTGACCCAAATGCACTGGGATGGATAAGACAAACAGAAGCATATCAAATGTAATGAAGGTTTCTCCTATGAGGTTATTTTACTCCTCCTTTCAGGGTTTGCCTTTCTTTAGCTTCAAAGGTAAACACTTTGGGAACTATTACTGGATTACTAAACTCTTGTTTAATCTAAATCCCTGGTTGGAACAGCCATTGCCTTGTACAGGTTTATCTTTTCCCTGGATATGCATGCATCAATACATTTACAATAATTGCTTCCTCGTGCTTTCCCTGAGCTTCCCTGTGCTCCTTTGAAGATATAGCCCTGGCAGAATGGTTTTTAGACCCTTTGTCAGACTGACTGCATTTTCCACATGGAAGAGACATCAGGAGTTTGAGTAATTGTGTATGTGCCTCCTTGATGTTGACAATCACTAGACTCAGTGCTCTAAGAAAGCCCTTGGTATTTCTGTTTAATGAGCCAGTCTTGAAGCTTTAAAATTCCCATATGTTGAGTTTCTCATTGAAGATTTCTTTACAAAGACATTGCTGAGTTCACCTCAGGGTTGTCTGAGCCTTAACAAAGCTTAGCCTAAGAGAATACCACTTCAATACCTGTGCGTAGTTGAGAAACTGTTGTCCTGGGAAGAAACAGCTTTAAATATTGGTGGTAAGCTCTCTCTTCTAGAATCAGGATTGTTTTGATATCTGAACTTGTTATATGTGGAGATTAAGTGCAAAAGTGCTAAGAGTAATGTGTGTCACTAAAGCAGTGTTTGTGTCCACTTTAAACTCTAAGAACATGACTTTGTGTAGCACCTCTTAAAAGGGCACAGCTCAACTTACTGTTTTCCATTTTTATTACAGGCAGAAGGACAGGGTTGTTATGTTTTTCCTTATAATCAATGGTATATGCCCTAGGTTTAAAGAAAAGTGATGGTTGTAACTCTTAGCTGAGTAGTGGTCCCTGTTCAAACTCCTGGAAATGTTTTTGCTACCAAATAAATCATGTTTTATGGTACTCAAGCCATCCAGAAGTGAAAGGCCCAGAATTTGAATCTATGCAGGACAAAAATCTTGCAGGAATCAAAGCACTTTGGAGAAGCATGAAAAGAAATACAGTGCAATTCTGTTTTAACAGTATTTCACCACATTTAAACTAGCTTGGAGCCTTTTAAGTTTAATGCCTTAACTTCTCATTACTAGTGACCTACGGAATTGTTATTAGCATCAAGCAGGAAGTTGACAGCTATATCATTATTTGAGATAGTCAAGGCAGCAGACAACATTGCTAGAAGGAAAGATCTGTAAGACAGGAGGGAATTGGTATTGTATATAAGAAAAATAACAAATTAGTGTTTTTAAGACTATCACTGTCATATATTTGATTGTTGGATTAATTAGCCCATTAATTAGTATTAAGAATTCTATTCATGGTGCTAAATAGTTTGAGGGGTATAAAATGTCTTAAGTCATAGCTCTATTCTTAGTGATCATATGGTGTATGTAATTTATAAGCTCTAAGTAGTCAGCTTTATCCAATTTGAGGGCATTAAAATCAATTACTGCCTGGAACTTTGAAGAGAAAAATTCAGGGACAAGTTGAAAAGCACTGGAACTGTTCATGTCCATACTAGATTGGTAAATTGCAAAATTTAGAAGCTAGCCTTTAGAATTAGCTGTTTAGAATTCAGAAAGGGATATATGTCTTAACTTCGTGATATATTAGCAAAAATTGGTCTACTGTGATGTTTGGGGAGGAGAGGGGAGAGAAAAGTTTTTCCCTTATGCACTTGTATATGAAGATGGTTTGTATGACACAATACAAAACTTTTAAACAACTTGTTGGGCTTTTCCTTTACTTACCTATGTCTGGGTAGAAATGTTTGGAATCATCGCAAAGGATCATTTTAAGAAAAAAATTTAATACCATGAGATTTTACATTCTGGAAAATATTGATTTAAAAAAATTGAATGCCCAGCATGTACAGAACACCCTTGTCAAGTGGTAGGGAGCAGGCCATGGAATGCCCCTTCGTTCAGAGGTTACCTCTTTGGTGGAGAGACAGGAAAAACTCATTGAAAATGATAGCCCATTTGCCACCTGATCAAGAGTTAATGTTTGAAGTATGTATACTAAATGTGAGAGAATGAGGAATAATTTTTTCTGTGAAAGTCATTTCTTTTATCATCACTACTATAAATGGGCATCAGTGTTGGTAGAGAGGACTTAGTTTGGACGTTAAGGGAATGTATTTTTGTGTCTTCATTATTTAACATTTATTGAGTGGGTCAGTAACTGTCAGTGTGGTCCACCATTGAAATGGGCAATGGAGGAAATATAAAATATCCCTGATCGTGAGCTCTGGTAAAATTTGCATATACAAAACAACTGGAGGTCAATCTTAAGGTAGTAGATTATGTGCTTCAGACTGGGAATGTTGTAGGAATTCAGAGAGGGAAGGAATTAGTATGGCTGGAGCTGACTCGAATAGCTAATGGGAGCTAAAGCTCCTGGTAAATACTCGTAGTCTTGTACTTTTTCCAAACTCAATCTTGAGAAGGGTGAGATGTAGAAAAATTTGAAGTCTTATTTTTTATGAGTCCTTATTAACTTTGACAAGCACTTGGCTTTAAAAGATGGTTCAATACTGAAAATAGATTTGCAGTAATCCTGGATTTGCTCAAGCTTCAAATTAAAGTTTATTTTCAAATTGTTCTTCCCACATTTCAGCAGCTCAGCTGGAACTGAAACTTAGGTGGTATTACCATACAGGGAAGTAGTTGGAAATCCTAGTTCTCTGACTAAAAAGAGTATCACCCTGTGCTCTAAATGTTCTCACTGCACGAATTAATTTTGTCTTTCTCCCCTTTTTCCCCACTAAGAATTGCTGTGAATTAATTAGGTATAGCATAAATTATAATAAATAAATTAAGAAAATGGCAACTGTATTTTTATTTTACTCAGAAGTTTTGACAGTTTTTTCAGTGAAAGTTGGGAGATGAGTCTGTTGCTATTCTTCCGTGGTTTATTGGTTAACTGTGTTTCAGTGGTGTGCTATGCACCTGTTTGTCTAGACTGCACCCATATCCACAAAGAAAGCCAGAGCTGGCTTAGCTCTTGTCTGCAGAAAGCACATTCTCCTTTGATGAGTTGAACTGAATTGACTTGCCTCCCACTTGGTGTCACTATGTAGGAGCAGAGGACCACGTGTGGCCTGGAGGAACCAGGATGGATTTTAGTTTAGGAAATGGGGTCAGACAGCATAAGCGGGTCAACCCATCTATAGAGCCCTGCAGACCCGTTTCCCTTCACTGTCCAGATGGTCAGGGCTGGAGTGTGGCCAGCTTCCTTAGGCTAAAATGAGTTAGTTAACTAAGGACTTCTAACACATGGGTTCTGCTCCTGGGGGGTTATCATTAATTGGGAGGACAGGGCAATAAATAGGCAACATAAAAGCAAAGACATTACATTGAGTTATTAAAAGAATACATTGAAAGATCTAGGATTAAATTGATAGGTGGAATTAGACCATGAAGATTTCTCAAAATTGTAGTTTGGAGAGGAGGAAAAGTGTGACGTGAAACGAGGAAAGTCTTAAGAGTCATGTACGTAAGACAACTGAGCCAAGATTTGAGACTGGGAAAGTCAAGACTATCGTGTTGTACATGGAATGAGCATCAAGAAGCAAGGTTGAGGTTAAAGGGTAAGAGCTGGGATATAGCAAGAGACCAATAGGGCAGGACTAATTGGGTGGAAAGCTGTGAAGGCCAGCCAGAGGTGTGCATGGTTCCCAGATACCTGGTTGCTCGGGATCAGAAACAGCTGGGGAGTTGTTTTGCTTTTCATTTTCTCAGCCCCTGGAAATTTTGATTTGATCTCTGATAGGACCCAGGAATCTATATTAAAACAAAAACCTCCCCAGGTGCTTCTGAGTGTAGCTGTTCCTAGATCAGGAATCACCGAGCTGGATGGTGTGGCAGTGTCTGGGGAGATCGCTGGAGGACTGTAAAGCAGTGATAGGTTGTAGTTAACAGGTGGGGGAAATTCTGGTGGCTATGGACAGAATGGTGGGCTGGGGAGCAGCTGGGAGTAAGCAACAAGAAGGATGCTGTAATAGTTCACAACTAAGGAAACAAGGGATTCAGCTGTGGGGACAAGAAAAATAAACTCATGCCTTGTTATGAAGGAAACCACCAGATAGAACAAAGAACTGTTAGGTCTTAATGTTTGGGATATTCTGAAATTTCCAGTCAACTTTTAAACATGACTTGGCCTTGAGACAAAATTACTGAAATGTTTTAGCTTTGTCTAATAGACCTTGCTTTAAAAAAAACCCCAAAACTGTGATGAGCAGCTTTGGGTTCAGAGTGTACATTCCTCAGCACACATGATCGTATTGTTAAGTCACCCAGTTTTTTTAACAAAAGCTGCTGGGGTGGGGACATGTGTCATTTCCTGCCCTTCCCAGAGCTGGTTATTGCTAGAGTTTATTACAGTTTGCTCTGAGCCAGAAGAAAGTCGCTCCAGAAACATCCCCCGCCAGATGCTTTCCCTAGTTTCCTTGCAGAGGAGTGTGTAGGTGAGGGAGTGGAGGCAGAGAAACTGGGGGTTTATATGAAGGTGAGTCCAAATATGTGCTCAAACACAGCGTAATCCAACATAAAATCTCTGCTGGTCCGGGAAGGCATGCATGCACATCAATTTAGTCAGAAATAATTGGCACAGTCCCACCCAAAACATTATAGCCACTCTTATTTTCATATCCTTAGACTCCTCAAAAGAATCTATGGGTCTAGTTGCAGCTAATACCCACCCACCACTGCCACCACCCAAAAAACAATAACAAAAACAAAACAACTCTAGACCAAACTTCTTTTGAAACTCTGACTCAGAATAAGTAGGAAGAAGAGGCGAAGTCTTTCCGTGTTTGCTCTAGGTCTGCTTCCTGGACAATATTTTGTTCCTGCCTGTCTGTCTGCTGTCAACAAATCTTTATTGAGTGCCTGATGCTTGCCAGGTATTGTGTTGGGTGTTGGGAATTCAACAGTGAATAAAAACAAGCACACAGTTCCTGGAGTCTCAGTTCTGTTCTTTGGGCGCCTCTAATTCTAATGTGCAAAATCTCACATCAGAGGTTTGGATCAAATGACGAGAGAGTGAGATGGGGTAAAGGACAAGTGAAAATTTCAACTACTTTGTAAACAATTAAGTGTTAACTTGGAAACATTCCTGAGAAGAGGCCGATTTGATGTGAGTGAATGAAATCATGAAAATGTCCAGTTTCATATTATTATTGCAAATAACCCTCTAAAACTTTTTTTTTTTTTGAGGAAGATTAGCCCTGAGCTAACTACTGCCAATCCTCCTCTTTTTGCTGAAGAAGGCTGGCCCTGAGCTAACATCCGTGCCCATCTTCCTGTATTTTATACATGGGACGCCTACCACAGCCTGGCGTGCCATGCAGTGCCATGTCTGCACCCGGGATCCAAACCAGTGAACCCCGGGCCGCCAAGAAGCAGAACATGCACACTTAACCGCTGCACCACCGGGCTGGCCCTAAAACATTCTTGAGGACATTGGCCTCAAGATCATAAACACATTCTAATTTGCATTACTTCCCATTAAGCTCTGTTTGCATCTTTCTTTGAAGGCTCCACCGGTAGCGATGGTAGAAAAATATAGGTTCTGGAGTTAGACTGCCACAGTGCACATGCATCCAGGCTCCATTGCTTATGAGCTGTGTAACTTGAAACAAGTCATTTAAACTCTCTGGACTTTAGTTTTCTCATCTGTTAAATGAGGATAATAATAGCACATATCCAGCAGGGTTGTTGGAAGGATTAAATGAGTTTTAAAGGTATAAAGTGCTTAAAACAGTGCCCAGCATTGGTAAACATTCAATCATGTTAGCTATTGTTGCTATTATTATTAAAAAGAAAGTGAGTCCCTTTTTATGGCCCTCTCAGAGCTATTCAATTAAATTGAGGTTTAATATAACATTTGAGGTGAATTTACCAGCTCCAAAGGCTTGAACACAAGAGCAGTTAATGAGTTCCCAGGCTTTTATCCAGATTTTTCTGTTAGCACATCTATTCCTGGGCCTCCTGAGCCTTAACACCTCCTCTAGGAGTTTGTTCCTGAATGCCAAGCAGAGTTTTGAGCATTTCTTAGCGGTGCTCAGAAGGTAGTATTTAACATAGTGTGGTATTAGGCACTTGGGACACTCCTCAGTTTACTAGCTTATAAAAGTTATTAAGAATAATGTCCTCAGCTTTCTGAAAAATATGCCCTATGGCTAAACTTCTGTTGCTCTTGAATTATTTGAGGAAGACACCAAGCACTAGGCTTTTTTTCAAAGCACAGGTGTCGGGGAGGGATGAGATCAGAATGTGAGGTGGTTAGCAGGTTGGCGACTCCTTTCTGAGAGTTTGTTATAAGGAGGTCACAGGAGAAAATACCTTGGACTGAGAGGTACAATAGCAAACAATGTGGTGTCCTTTGTTCGTTGCCCACCCAGCATCCATTCCTCCTTCCAAAGGAAATGACATTTTGTTCAAGAATCCACCCATTTCCCATACTCAGTTCCAGGGCAGTCCTAAATGGCCTAAAGATAATCCTATCCTCCTTGCCTGTGATTGGTTCAGAAATGACCACGTGAAACATTTTGGGCCAGCAAGATTAGAGGAGAGAATAGCTAGAGGCTTCTGGGAATGGCCTACCTTATTTTTGCTACAGGAGAGGTCCTGTAGCAATCTCCTCTTTCCCCTGGAAGTGAATGGGGAAGCATGGGGCCCTGGAAGTGGTTCTCTAAGCATCACTAAAGCCTCAGGGTTAAGTTAACACTGAATGTCAGAGTGGGCCCACAGAAAACCTGGGTGCCTGATAGTATCAGCGACCTTTCGCCAGAATCAACTCTGAAGCCTGCCCCCGCTTTGGACATCGGGTTAGGTGAACCCATACATTTTCTTAATGTTTAAACCAATTTGAATTGGGTTTCCTATTAATTGTAGCCAAAAGCATCCTAACTGAGTGCCAGGACTCAGTGAAGGTAAGAGCCAATGACTCTTACCGTTGTCGTTACATTGTCATGTTACTTTTTAAGACTATCACCTAGAAAAATGATATACATGCCATGATTGCAATAAGATGGTTCAAACAAATTGGAAGGAGATGTGCCCAAATTTAGTAATGTTTGTCTGTAGGTGGATTTTTTTCCTGTTTCTATGAACTTATACTTTATTTTTCATTTTTTCTACAATGAGCCTGAGGGATATATCAGGGGAAAAAATACACAGGAAATAAGAGAAGACGACAAAATGATTTGGTATCCTAACTGATTTTTTTCCCCTCTTTTCTATTTTCCAATTTTCTTATAATATGCTTATTAGTTTAGTAATTTAAAAATGTTTTTTAGTTCCATCACTGAAACTTTAAAAGAGCAGAGACTTTTTCTCTTGCTTCCTTTCTCTCCACCTCTAGCATCTATGCACAGGGCAGATAATTTACACAGAACAGAAAATAGGAAAAGGGAATCATTCCTGACCTTAAGGCATGCAGAGAAAGCCATAAAGAGCAGTTGCAATGGTTATTTCACCCCATATATGACCCCAGAGTGTTGCATTAACCTGTGTTCCTTTTCTTTAAGAGCACTTCTCAGTTTCTAATTATATATTTATTAGTGTGATTATTTGACTACTGCTTGTCCTCTGCTAAGCTCTACAAGAACAGGACTCTTGATTATCAATGTATTGTATTTCCAGTACGTGGCATACAGTAGACACTCAATAAATAAATATTTGTTGACTAACAAATGAATGAGATAACAGAATTGACCAGTCTCAGCATTGCTTTCTGGAATAAATATTTCCAATTAAGGGGGCAGACTAATTCTCAGCACTAAAAACCATATCTCTCCCTCTGGTGTTTATGGTCTTAGA